GCGCCCCCGGTGCGCTTCGGCTTGGCCCGGGGTGCTGCCGAGCCCCCGGCCCTCCGGCCGCGCCGCCCTCGGCCTCGGGCTGTCCGAGCGGCTCTGCTAACTCCGAGTTCCTTCCCCTCTCGAGAGAAATGGCAGTCGTGGCCGTTATTTACGAGTAATAATTACAGGCTATCCTCGCCTCGCCCGCAACTGCGTATTTACTGCTGCCGGTAGAGCTTGCGGATGATTTTGGTGGCCTTTCCGCCTGGAATAAAGCGGCAGCTTGCACCTCGAGGCCTGCCGTCCGCAGGTTAGCTGAACTCCTGCCGTGACTGGTAAATGAGCGTAAATATAAACTGTTGGGGGAAAACCCCCGTTCTTTCCCCCACAGGCAGTGAGGAATTATCTCTCTTCAGTTTCAGCCGGGTGAAATTATTTTTTAAAAGGCCAAGATTAGGACTGTGCCCAAACTTCAGGAGTTGCGTGCAGTTTGTCACTGAAATAATCAGGTAGCCTCTGAGTAGTTCTCTGCTATGCAGGTGTCACGAAAATGTCACGCGGCGCATGCTGTATATTCACATTAATATTTTATTAATCGGGAAAAAATGTATTGTTAATGAGATTTCAGTCAGGCTGGATCGGCGCCTACAGTAAATATTCCCACTGGGGAATAGCTGTTTCTTAGGGAGTGGGCTGGTTCGCTCGCAGGCAGTGCAGCGCTGACGCGAGGCTGCTCGGTGGATGTTTGTATCCAAGACCGTCTGCTACAGCATAAGGGTGGTGAAATAAAGAGTACTGAAAAAGCTATGGAAATAGTCAATGAGAAAGGCACGTTTCTTCCTAGAAATCTGTTTTTGTAATAATCTGAGAGTGCGGTTTCCTAAGTAAATAGTCGGATCTCTTTCCAAACTACTTCTCCCTTAGACTTCCTAGATTTTCCTTTAAGAGTAGGCACATGTTATGGTAACATCAAAATAATAAAACACTGTAGAACACTTTGAAAGACACGCAAAACATGGTAGTAGACCAACGGTGCTAATACAAGGACAGAGGATCAAGGAGAAAGACCTTTAGAATTCCAGATATCCCAAAACACACCAAAATTTGGTCCAAAGAACAGGTACTGCCATATATGAAGTGCATAAAAAGCAGGAGGTCAGACATACCTATGTGTATGCAACACTCTAACCAAATAGAGTACAAAGTTTGATCAAAAACAGGACAGGACATTCTCTAATTATTCTTACGAAGTGAGCAATGGTTGATTCAAGAAGAATTCAATACTCGAGTCATTAATTATCTCACAGGATATTTAGGTTCAATAGTCTTAGGAATGGCAAATCATGTATAAATAAAATATCTCCTGAGGTTACTTCGTTGGTTTTTTTTGTTTTGTTGTTGTTTAAGAAGGAAAACTGGTCAAAAGCATCTCCCACCAGAAACCTGGCTGTTAACATCCTGACACTTCCCGTGGAGTTAGACAGACACAGCAGAACTGAATGCTGCCAGCCTCGTGTGCCCATCCACAAGCAAAACCCTCCATCTCCAAAAGAAAAGAAGAGAGAAGAGAGAGGAAAAATCGAAGGGCAGACAAGGTGCTTCAAGCAGTTATTTGACACAAATAGCTGTTTTGCTGCAGCTAAAACTTTGGCCAGGCAAGAAGACAACGGAAAAGAAGTGTAATTTATGGAAAGCAAAATTACACTGGAAAACAGGTAGACTAAGATAGACTTAAAGAGCAATTAACCAAAGGCATGAAGACAAACAAGGTATTTTTTTCATCAACCGGCGGCAGAAGGCGTGCAGGAATCATCAGGTTATCTGCATATAAGGAAATGGCGCAATGGAGGACAAGGCATTGAAGAGCTTGCTTTCTCAGCGCTGAGACACAACACGTTTCACTGTTCCCAGATGTTGGTTGTGTAAGGGAAGGGTTAATAAAGATTAATATTAAAGTCAGTGACTCATTATCCAACCTGAATAGAAGAGAATTGGGAGTGGCTCCCTAGAAGGAAGGAACTGAATAGTCATTAGGAAGAACTCCTAATGAATAACCATGTCAGGGCAAGAACATAGGGATGAATGTTACCATTTTAGTCTTGATTCCTCTGTTAACGAAACTCAGTCCCACTGTGAGATGAATATGGACATAGGCTGTGGAATAGGCTATCCACAGTAACCTTGATAGGTACGTTTGCCTGGGAATAATTGATACATGTATTATCCACGGGAAACACTTGTTTTACGTGATTTCCCTTAACATTTCACCTCCTTTCTCACCCTGGTGTGTCTCACCGTGGAGCTGCTGCCCCAGAACTTCCCAGTTGTTGCTGCTGCAGGAGAAAAACTCCCAGCCCTCCTCCTTACTGCCAGGTCTGCGAGCGGCCACGGGCTCATCCTGTGGGCAAGACACTTTTCTGCATTGTTACTTCAGCACTCAAAGTGAAATATGTCTCATATTATTATTTCAGTACTAAATTTAAATGCAGACATTTGCAAATAAACATCCAATAAATGTTAACATCCTGCTGTTAGCTACGACTATTAGCTGCCCTGTTTCCCTTTCCTGTCATCTAGAGCATTTGACTGTAGTAGGGGTAAATAGCACGCAGCAATAGACCTGACCCTTGTTTCTCTCATGGTATATTGCTTGCATACCTACTTATTAAAAATTTTGCTTACAGAAGCTTGCAGAATCTTCATGCGATTTATACAAAACCAGCAAAATTGTACCGGGACGCTTCTGCAGGTTGGCTTACCTTCATCCTCAGTATGTATGTTATCTCAAGTGATTTCCTTTGGTTTGGTTTTTTGCGGTTTTTTTAAGTCATAGGCATGCCTGCCACTTAGTCTAAAATAGTTGCGAAAATAGTAGAAATTGAAGAAAAATTACTTTGGTTTAAAAAATCTTGTTGGGACAAAATTTGTCACTCGCTATAGTCTTGCTCTAATTTTGTATCATAGTACTTGCTACCAGGTGAGACATCCCTTTCTTGTAGCTTAGGTTGGTGATATTAAACCATATAAAAATCACACAAAATTTATACAACTAAAGAATTTCCACGTTCAGGTACCTCTCTGTAGCCTTCCAAAACACCTACAAACACCATCTCGCTTTAGCATACAATAACTTTTTTCAAATATCAGTGATACCTATGATGGAACATTTTCCTCTTAGGACAGAAGAATGTGCATATGGGAGACACCTGACTGAGTCATTTAAATGCTTATCAGTCTCTATCAGCATCAGCTCTTAGAGGAGTTTCAGTCTATTTCTGGAACTGCTTCCTTTTTCAGCTTTCTGCAAGACATAAGATTGCAGAAACCCATAGGTGATTGGTCAGCTGAAATAGATTTATTGCTATCAGTTAATTTTTTTCTTAGTCTGCAAGAAGGAGTATTATTCTTCCAGCAACAATTGGGTAATACCAGTGCTCATGGTTTCTTTTGTAAAATTTTCTCTTTGCAAAGAAGACTTTGCTGAAATTTTGGCTGATCTGCTCTCACCCATCAAATATTCCTCCGCTCTAACATTTCAACTTAAATTAGAATTCAGCTTCCACCATAACTTCAAATTGTGAGAAACTAGTTGCACTGATATCTGGTGAATACGACTTGCATCTTTTTGCTGGTATCAAGCCTTTTCTGTTGGCTGTGTCCGCATCCACTCTGTTTTGCTACAGCGTGGAACTTCTGCAGGAGCCTGGTGCTAGGGGGTAGAATGTTCTTCTGCACTTTCTCGCTGGCGGCTATGAGCTTCGGTGACTGGTCGCGTTGCAGCATCTTAACTTGCTTTTCAGCGCTGTTCTTGCATTGGCCACGTAGAATTTGTGCTTTTCTCAAGCTTGTGTAAGAGATGCACAAGAAACTGCAGTCCACTGATTTTTTTTTTTTCGTTCTCCCTTACCAGCTGGCCTAACAGACCTTTAATGTTTTGTGAGAGTTGACGGTAAATCCTACTTCTTCGTTGCCCATCTGAGATCGGGGTGCTATTCTGGCACTCAGGAAGTCTGCTCTCCTTGCGCGTGCCTCATGCAAATATGCGCTAGGGGTGACCGTACAGGAAGAAGTCTTCTTTTTTTTCCCCTCCTACTAGCATTTGCTTTTTTATGTACCTTAACGGAATGTAGATTTATCCAAAGCGTGTTCTTCCTCATTACATTTTTCACTCTTAGTCAAAAGCCATTTTGTGGTAAGCTGTTTTATTTCACATGTCTGCCTTTACTCTCAAGACAAACTGCTGTTGATTCTTGATTAATTCTTCAGAGATTTTTCTCACATTTCTGGCCCATCATTAATTGCAATAAGTTATTTAAGAACTGTCAGTCTTTCCCAAAATTGCTAAATCCTCCAGAGTTCTTGCATATTCAGAGTGTTTTCTGTATGCTGTCCCTGATAGCTTCCCATAAAGAGGAGGCTAATCCAAATGGCTGACACTGGGGCAGAAGCCCAGCAAAGACACCAGTGGTGGAACAAAGACTTTTTTTCAGTGTCTTCGTATTATTTGGGAATTTCACTTGGCAGCTTAATTTTGCTGTGAGCTCCTTGTAATACTTTCTCCCGTTACGGTTGTTGGCCTGTGTTTTGGTGTGTTGTCCGTTATCCAGCAGACAGACTGTTATTTTAGTATCGTTAACAATAACCTATGCAAAACGCTAGCAAGCGGCTCTCCTGGAGCGCCTGTTCTGAGACTTGTGGCTGTGACAAACCCTGCATCACGTTTTTGAGTACCTGGTCTCTCGTTCCTCCTGAGACAACACGTATTTTGTGTGTTTGAAAAAAGCAGATTTAGGAAGTATATTGTATTTGAATGAACTCAGCAACAATTTACGTTTCTTGTATAGAATGGTGAACGCAGAGAGAGGGAGTGAAGGCGTAACACCACAAAACCGGGATCACGAGGAGCTGCGTTACCTTCCTGGGTGGGTATTACAAGACTGCTTGTTAGCAACCACTTTTGAGTTGCACTTTTTTTCTGTTTTCTTGGGCCAGTTGACCCGTTAATATCCTCTTCGAGTCTATTTTTCTCCTCTTTCCCTCTTTTCCAGAGGCATCTGCTGCTTTCCAAATAATTTCTTTAGGCCATTCAAATACTAGTAAAACACGCCAGGCCAACTCTGAAATCCTTTGTAGATGGGACATATCTGAAAGCACGCCACTTGCTACGTGAATGGCAGAGGAAGAGAAAAGAACTTCTCCAAAAGCCTGCTGTGAAGCCCACGTTAAGATGAAGCAGTATGTAGTCCAAGGAACAATCCAAAGAAAAGATTATTAAAAAGCCATCGTACTTCAGTAAAGCAACTGCTACACCCAAGTGCAAAACTTGTGATTGTGCTTAGAGGCCAACCTGTTAGGAGCTACGCCCTGTGCAAACATTGGGTAAATGACAATACAGCTCCAGCAAACTTTTAGGGCAAGAAAATGACTGGCAGCGAGTCCTCCGAGTGTATGGGAAAAGCGGCCTCGCAGAGGAGGGGGCAAGTGACGCCGTCTGAAAGAATTCCTCCTTTCAGAGAACAAGCAGTGCTTTCACAGCAGTGGATACTTAGCCGTGGCACACAGTATACAGATTACATCAGGTCCATTCGCTGCCTTTAATTATTTTTGAAAAACAAAAGCATGAAAATTTTCAGTTCTAAATTTGAATTTTCAAGAGTGAAAGCATAAATAATAAAGGCATTATGAAGCAGGGAACAGGAGCTGGTGGAGAGCAATAGCACTGGTTCTTAGAAAACCTGGAACAGTAGCATGCTGTTCCCTTGGTATTAATGAATAGTTGTGTGAGACGTACAAAAAGCCAGTATTTAAAGTATATTCTACAGCGCTTTATGCAGGAGAATCAATAGTATTACAAACAGATACTAATACATTACTATAGCTAGATACTACAACAAATACGATACATTTGCAAGTGGTATCATCGGAATAGTACATAGGAGCTAAAAATACATACTGTGGCCATTTCAGAAGAGCAGCTATTTACTCTTCTAACACTTTAAAAACATGTCATTTTTGTTGGCCTTTATGCAATTAACACAAGTATCTAAAGCATGTAAGTGACAGATTTAGCTACCTAAGTGTGGGATATGGATGCCAGGTTTGGGAACACCATCCAAGCCAGTCTGCTGCAGTAACTAAATTCTTCATCTTACCCAAACACATGCCAGCATGGTATACCAGCGCGTCATCCGTAGATGTAGATAGCTCAGTTATTTGTCTTACCACGTACTGCCCTTCTTTCATGCCTCCGACTCTTGCTGCACAAAGCTGTGCTCTAAAAGTCAAGTTAAAAAAAAAAAAAAAAAAGAAAAATTAAATTGATTTGAATTGCAAAGTATAAAGTTGTGGGGCCGTGCCTGCTTGACTCTGCACACAGGCTGAAACGAGCTCTACAAAATCCAGGCTTTTCAACACAGTGGGCTGGACACAAGGAGTACTTTGTGCTGCTGCCTTTCCAGTCGCATAATGGCTCTCCATGTCTGTCCTGTGGGCACAGCCGCCACTCCTGGGACGAGGTGCTCCTTGAGCTGGTGCAGTTAGAGAGGAGGAAAAGCAGACACAGTCCTCCTGTTGTCCAGATCTGGCCCACGAGCCACCAATTAGACTGTTCTGAACTACAGCGCTCAGTTCAAAGGGCTGCTAATTGTATTTTAATGACAATCTAAATGATACTGCTGATCATTTCAGAAACATCCTGATCGCTAATTACTAGTAGCCTATGTAGTGCGGTAAGCAGGCAAAGCACTGTAGAAACATGAAGTAAGATTATTAATGTTCTCAATGGCCTTCGACACCCTCCCACGTATCAAAAAGCAGCATCTCTTGTTCGTAGGCCCAAACCTCTGCCCTGGCTGCTCACATCTGTGATCCAGCTGCAGCAGATGTTTTTACAGCATCCTGGAAATAAGAAAAGAAGAGCAGCGATTCAAAATTACTTACATTCATTAACCAAAATTCTACAAATATTAATAAAATATGCTAGTAATAAATATTAATTAAAATTCTTACGACATCCCTGCTTCAGAACATTTTACCTTAAATACTAGCTCGATCGAACTGAATCTCTGAACAAAGCATGGCCAGGATGTTTAAATGCACTCACCAGAAACGCAAATACTAGCAAGCCGCGTGCCTGTTCGTAGCGGGCGTTACTTCTTTCCTCATCGTTGCAGCCGCGCAGGAGGAGCGGTGGCGCGGGGGGGGGCCTGGCCGGTCTGCGGAGCGCACAACTGCGGAGCGCACAAATGCCGGAGCGTGCTTGTGCTGCAGGTCACAAGGATTTTGGTTTCCAAGGCTGGCAAGTCGGCACCCGCCAGAAGCATTAAATTCCTTTCCGAATGTTTACTTGTATTTTGTACAAGATACCCATAGTCTGTTGAGGAATCCATTCTCCAGAAAAAATATTTAGAGTGCAAGTCACAGTTTTCCCCTTCAGAAATTCAGCCAAAACACACCGAATCTGCTAACCACTGACAGCATAGTGGTGGTCAAGATGTTTATACATAAAACACTATATCGGTGAGAGTAAAGTACACATGTTGCCCGTGTAATAGATATCTAGTAATGAAATGGAAAAGCTGGCTAAGCCCTTCTCTAAAATACATGCTTTTATGAGAATATAGGTTAACTGTAGTACAGTGGATTTTAAATGCCAAATCTAAGCAATTAGAATTTTGAAGAGACTGGTGCAGGAAAAAAAGGCAGCTTGTTTTCTCACTGGAAAATAAAATGCATGTAAATAAATACTAACGCTGTTTTTTTTTTTTGGTGAAGATTTATGTGAGATTAATCCCTTTACAGTCTTAGAGTGTATTAGGTTTCACTAATCTACCCTCAATTTTATGTGAGATTGCAGGCATGGGACGAGAGCGAGGAGCTAGCTCTGCTCTGCGACCAGGCACGCTGCAAAGGGAGCGAGATCATCTATGTACACTTTACACCTGAAGCCAGCGATTTTGTGCCTGTAGTTGCACGAGCACCTGTTTGTGTGAACAAGCCCCTGAAACTGCTTTAAAGGAGAGACATTTGTGTATGCAGATAAGGTGGCTGGTTACAAAACAACGAGATTTGCACATGGGAAGAATTTTGCATGCAATTTTCAAGATGCCTTTTTTTCAGCCATTTGACCCGGGAGTTTTGCTTTCCACGTAAATGATCTGTCTCGCTTGCTCGGGTAGTGCTTCAAGCATGTTATTTGTGTTCCTCTCCTTTTTCTTAAGGCTGTGCAGCGATGGTGTCTTTGGAAATGAAAGTCTTGAAAGATTCTTGCAATTTGTTACTAAAAGTGCTGGTTTTTTTCCTTTTGCAACATTGATGGTGTTTGAAACTGAGTAGGTCTGAGGGCAAATAATTCCTCCCTTTTCTGTTTCAGGAAACACTTGCCTTAACGGCCAGTATGCTCTTACAAATCTCACAGCTTGTACAGAATAGCAGACCTGAGCTGATGCCAGGTAAGTGCTGGTCTGGTAAGAGGTAACATTTAAACTTATGTATCCCCAGATTTTTTAATTAAAGGTTATTCATTTGGGTTTCATTCTTTTCAGAAAGGTCTGAGATATTGGTGTCTTAAGGGTTTTTGCCTGATTTACAGAGATTACTTTTTCATCTTCATTTATTCTTTTAAAGATACATCACTTGAAATTTACCCTGTGATTTTCTCGCCTTTAATGTAAGTCGGGAACGCATTTAAAATTTAGAGAAGGAAATATTTTTGAATAATGGCAACTCTTTTGCAAGAGATGAAAAGAGTTAAAAAAACAGCAAGCTTGTTACTTGATGACAGAAAACCTTACTTTTGAAAGTCGTACAAACAGGCAGCCTGGCCTGCGTTCAATGTCTTGACTGCCATAAAACTAGAAACATTAATTAGCATAAATTCATAGTCTAGTTCTGAAGAAAAAAAAAAAAGGTAAATATTACATAGTTCTCAGTAATGAGAGCATTTTTATTTTCCAGAAGACGTCAGTTTAATTCTCCAGATACTCTCAGTATATAGAGCAACTTTTGATTTCCCCCTGCATAATACAGCACGGGAGAGTGTCTCTTTAAATTCATTTATAAAATAATTCAGGACTGTGGGTGTCTTTGATCTGTTCCTCTCTGCTAAAGTACAGAAGAGAAGAACATGTCGCTTAGCAACCCCGCGCCGGAATCGGGGGGGAGGCGGGGAGGGATGGATGGTCCAGAGTCACAAAAGGGGAAGATTAATCCCCGTCAGAAAACTAAACTTCTGACAATGCTTCTCTAAAACAAGGCAAGCAAATAAACAAATACGGGTGTTTGCAGAATTAGGTAATCTCACTTTTTTTCTTTCTTTTTTTTTTTTTTTACCCCACTTCTGCTCTATTAATAGTAATCTTATGACCAAATCAGAAAATCAGGCACGGGATAGGCAACGCAGGCTTAAATAGCTTCAGGACTGGGTTGAAGTCAAAGGGAATCTGAAGTTTTATTTTTAAACCGGTTAAGCATATTTTAAATTGAATTAGTGTTGTCAGGACTAATCATAATTAATTTCATACCGCAGTTTTCATCTGAACACTTCAAATAAATTTTGTGTGGCGTCTCATCCTGTTTTACAGTTGGACAGCTTAAGTGTCACCAGACTGATTTATTTAGCGTCACTTACCTTGTCGTAAATAAAAATCTAGATTTCTCTAAATGGTTACCAGGCTGTGATTAGCTGGTAACTAGGTAACATCTTAGTAACTTTGAAAAAAATACCAATTAGGAAAGAAACTTTGCACTGAAGTAGATGAGCAGCACTCAGACAACCTCCACCGTTTCTGCAGCTGCAGGATGATAATGTCCCGCAGAGCAGTGGCAGGGGTGGGTACCATCTCAAACCGCTCCTGCTCTTTCCGTTTCTGACCAGTGCTGCCCTAGAGCAGCCCTAACTTACCTTTTTCTTTTGCATGAGAACTCAAACATCAAACCCCACAGCCCTGCACGGCTGAGTTATGGAAGAGAAAACTGCAGCAAAAAACTGTGCGGGAGGAAGAATGACAGAACTAGTTTGTAGCCCACTTCAACATGTTTCACACAGATGAAAAATATCTCATAAATAAAGGTAAATTGTTATGCCTGGTCTTATATTTATGATCATAAAGGTTATTTAAAGTCTTCTTAATTTTTAAGCCACTTCCGTGGCTTAATCACTGATAACTTATTACTGAACTTATCACTGTACAGTGAATCCCTAAATGCTAATGGTCCACATTTCTCCCAGAGCTCGGTACAGGCAATTCTGTGCTCAAATTCTGTAGTAAAATTGCAGAGGCTTAGAGCAAATGCCTACCTCCATCCACAGGCTAGAAGCTTATCTAAACTGGCATCTGTTGCGTATTCCAGCAATTACAAACATACTTGAAACTAGACATTATTGAACTCTGAAGTAACGCTTATTTTTATCTAGTAATGGAAATGGTAAATGATAGCATGGACCTCATTAAGATCTAAGTTTCTTAGAATAGTGTACCTAAGAACTTAATACATAAGTAACAAGATAATTTTTTAGTACCCATGTATAGCAAAGACCTAAAGAGTAGAATCCTGTCTCCAATGAGATCAATGAGGATTTTACTACTTACTGCAGGGGTGCCTGGATTCTACCCGGGATCTCTGAGAGTGTGCTTTTTGTATTGGCAAATGCTTATGTAATGTGATTCTTTGGAGAAATTTAATTAAAGAGAAATGTGTAAAGCACTTGGCATTAAGTGGTCTAAGTTTGTTAACATACAGTATTTAGAATGAAGCCCAAATTAGAAGCAAACGATGCTAACTTAACTGTGAGCATTTGATAAAAATTACTTTATGGAGAAGCTTGTATAGACTCTTGGCGTTTTTGTTTTTAACAAGTATTTTCTATATGCTTTCATTTCTATGATCCAAACAAATTTAGAGGCCTTATTTGAAACGTTGCAAGCTGAAGCAAACCCCATTGACTTGACTTTATCTTTGCTCTCAGTTACACCAGGGTCAGCAATTCTTTACTGTAACTTAATACTGAGTAAGTATTTTTGCTAACTGCCGAAATCGAGTGGGAGGAGGAGTCCAGCAACAGAAGAACTCTTTTACTTGCGCTTGTGTTTACAGTACCGGTTCATATCCTTAGCGGTTTTTATTTTTAGGAAACAAATGTGTAATACCCATGCGGCTAAGATTATCTTGGTTGGAGATTCTTGTTGTTACCAAAAATTTATGTGATTCCTCTAACAGAGATGGAGCATCTCCGGCTTCTCAAACAGGCAAGCAGACTTTGTGAGGCTGATAGTTTTGGGGAATATGTTTTGGACTATGCTGACTTAAAAACATGTACAATTAACATAGCTTTCTGGTTATGGCATTCCAAGTTACCAGATCAGGACGATACATGAAAAAAGCAGGCAGATAAGGCATCATTTGCCCAAACATGTCATCAGAAACTGACTTCCTAAAGGTATGTCTCAAGCTGGAGAATGAAAACACGGATGTGTGATATTTTTCCATTTCAGAGCAATCATTGTAATATCACTATGATGCAGACTACCTTCACGACTTCTTAATCCCAGTACTGACAGAGGGAAAGTAATCTAGATTCCTAGAAGCATCATGTTGGAGAACTCTCAGTTTAGCGCAAAAATTCTTGAAAATATATTTGGTGGAGAACTGGGCCCAGCTGACAGTATTGGGGAAAAGAAGATTTTCTTTGGCGTGGGACACCGCGCTGTGACAGCCTCTGTTCTTAGGGAAGAATCTCTAATCTAAAACGTATCAGACTATTTCTCTCTCTTGTAATCTCCTCCTAAATGAAAACAGAATTATTCAGCTTTTTTCACAATGCATAGAAAAGTTTGAAGTTAAAAATAAATCTCAGATCCTTCTCAGAAGAGGGACAATGACTGTCTTTTTATTTTTAAGAAAAAAGCACTCTGGTCCCATTGCCCTCTGCAAAACCGTAGGTCATCACAGAAAGGTTTTTTTGGTATTTGAGGCTCAGTTTCCCCAGTGATAAGCACTTACGGCAATGAGAACTGCAGCAGTTTCAGAGAAGCGGGACATCTTTGCTGCTTGCAGTACTACCACAACATGTCTGACTCCAGCACCAGAGAGCTGGCATATAAATGGAATGAAAAATTCACTGAAGTGCTTTGATGTTGCATATATGCAGAATTTGAAAGGAATAGGAGAGTTTATTTTTAAAAGGAAATTAATAAAAGACATTATAAGGCTATGCAAAATAATGGGTGGTATAAAGGAAGGTCCGGAAATTCTTGTTGTTTTTCTCGCCATACAAGGAACATGGGCATTCACAGAGGCGAAGGTCCAGAAATTCTTGTTTTTCTCTCCATACAAGGAACATGGGCATTCACAGAGGGAGATACATTCTGCAAAAAAAAAACACCCAAACCAAAGAACCCATTCCCTGTTTGATTTCACAATGTGCCCTTGCTGCCAAGTCTGTCCCCTGACCAGCCCAGCCGAGCGGGGATCCTTGGACAGCCTGCCCCGAACCAACCCTGCTCGCTGCTGTCTCTCATCAGAGTTACCACAAGTAGCATCCGTAAGGTGTTGCAGCGCTGAAAATTTGTGACTGGAAGCGAGGGTTTTGCAGAAAAAAAAAAAAAAAATGGTGCGGAGGGGTCCTTGTCCTCAGAAAGCCGGCTGAATGACACCTTTTTCCTTGGAAGAAGTCATATTTACTTGGGGAATTTACATGTATCAATGACTGTGGCAGAATATTTCTGAGGAAGCCCCTTGTTAATATTTTGGCAGCATGAGAGTGTTTTTTCCCAATTGCAAATGTCGTTCCATCTGCCACAAAGCCATTGGTTCCAACAGTCTGTCCTTCCCTGTTAAAGGGGCATCACAGAAACATTATGTTTGCTGTTGGGATATCAGGAGAGGAAAGCAATATGAATGTGTCGCCCGCTGCAGTAGTGTGCCCTGTTGGTGAAGAGTTTGCCATGAGAAAACAAGCCAGCTGAGGACGTATGTCTTCCTTCCTATTTCCTAATGAGTGAACTTTTAATTTAGTTGTATTTAACATCATTTAGGTAAGATTTTGATAATACCACTGGCTTGAGTCCGAGTTACATCATAGAAATATTGGTTGGAAGGGACCCCTAGATCAGCTCCCACCTTCCACTCAAAGCAGGACTGTCACCAACACTGGATCAGGTCTGCTGCAATTTTACCTAGCCATACCTTGGGTGTCCCCCATACTCAGAGGTGTCCCCCTCTGAGTAACCTCTTCCAGTACTGCAGGATCCTCCCAGTGAAGCAGTTCTTCCTAACGTCCAGTCTGAACCTCCCAGGCTACAGTGTGTGGCCATTGCCCTTTTCTATACCACCTCTCGCTACCAAAAAGAGCTTGGCCCCGTCTTCTTTCCAACTCCAGTTCAAGCAGTTGCAGCCTGCTATTAGATCACCCCTTAGCCTCCTCCATCACCTGAAGCGTGTGCTCTGTCCCTGACCATCCCGGTAGCCCTCTGCTACCTTCCCTTCCAGTTTCTGAACGTCCTCTTGACCTGGGGGGGGCTCAAAGCCAGACACAGTATTTCAGGTGTGACGTTACTGGCTTTGAGTAGACAGGGATAATGAGTTTCCTCAATCTGCTGGCCACTCTTCTTCCAAAGTAGGCCAATGTGCAGTTTGCCCCATTTGCAATGAGCACACCATTGGCTCACATTTGACCTGACATCCACTGTAACCTCCAAGTCCTCTCCAGGAGGGCTGCTGCTCAGCCAGACGGTTCCCAGCCTGTCCTGGCACATGGCGTTATTCTGCCCAAGATGTGGGACTTTGTACATCTTGTTAAACTTGATGGAATTTCTGCTTGCCAGATCGCAAGTTCCTGAAGATCCCTCCACAAAAGTTAGTGTTTGGCATGTCAATGGCTCAATGCTAATTTAGTGTCATCTTCACATTTGTTGTGTCTGCATTCTGTATCATCATCCCGGTCGTCAGTGAAGATGCTAAACAGTATCAACCCTGGTGTTGACCCTAGAGTACTCTGCTTCCCTCCAGCCACCAAACAGATGTTGAGACGTTCGTTGATGGCTGTCTTTCTGGAGTCTCGCTGAGTAAGCTTTCTGACTGACACACGAACTGAAGGAAGAGCTGGTTTTCTGTTTGGTACCTTAACCGGTAACCTATTCTTAAAGTGTTTTAGCAGATGGTAGTGGGCTACATAGTGTGCAATAGTAGCAAAGGCAAAACATTGTTTAAATTTAGTAGAATTCTGTAAATAGGCTTCTAAAAATCACAGTAAACAAGAAGTGGTTCTTACCATGTAGACTTTCTACATTTTTCAATACCTAGTCTAGCATTTTGGAGTATACAAAAGCTCTTCTGCAATTAAAAAAAAAAATTATTTGTCTTTTGTTCTGTGTTGGAATCAAACCGACCTCTCACCATTCCCAGGAGGCAGGAGGGAGAGTCCTCCATGCCAGGACAGCCAAGGGCCCTCTGTGGCACACCCGTCATCCGTGTCCCATCCCTGCTTCAGCTCAGGCCCCGATCTCCTAAACCTCATGTGCATCTCCCAGCTGCTGCGTTATGGGCATACCTGGGAGAGGTGGATGGCACTGCCTCTCTGCAGTCCCCAACGTTGTCAAAGTTTAACATCGTAACAGATCTGTCTCCGCAAAACACTCTGGTTTTAGCCAAACATCATATTTTCACAGAGATATCTTCCTGATTGTTTTTTGAAATCTGAATTACAACAAGGAAAAAAAGTATGTGATTCCTTAAACCCAAAAGAGACATCCAACAGAAAAAAACAAACTCAATTCTAAAATGACTGTTTCAGTGATGACTTGTAATCTGTGCAGTTTCATCTACTTGATAATACCCAGCTTAGTGTTAGATCTAAAAAAAGAATGAAATGAGAAAATCATTCCTTTGATATGCATTAAATTATTCAGTTAGTAAATTAGTGAATCTTACTCCGAGTGTTATTAGCTATTAGCATGTTACACTTCTTGATGTTGCTCATGAAGAATGCATATGAAAATGAGGAAAAGATTTCCCTTTTGAAGTTGCTGCCACTTGAGTTGTTGACATTTCTTTTAATTGGTGGCTGTCCTCTTGAATGCAGTATTCTGCTGTCTGTTTTTATGAGAGATTCTTCATTTTTAATTTGTTCTCTCATTGATTAGACTTTTTGAATGGTTAACTCTCAAAATAATTAGCCTTTCAAGGGAACCATGTTTTCCTAAACAGTTATTAATGAGTATCTCCCCCATTCAGTATACTTAGGCCTTTTTCATTGGGAGAATTTCAAGCTTACATCTGGCCTGGTCGAACCGTGCCTGGTACCACTGAAGACAGCAGGAATCTCGCTGCAGGTTTCAGGAAGAACTAGACCAGACCCTAAGAGTGAAGAAAGATAATTTGCATTCACTTTGTCTTAGGAAGATGTCTATTTTCTAGGAGAACCTACAAACATTTCTTCAGGCCCCAAGGTAGGACTGAGGAGGGAGCGAAAATGAGTGAAGGAAAACAAGGTAATGCCATCTGATCAAGGATACCATCTTCAAAGACACTATCAGCTTCAGCAGCAGGGCTAATGAGCCTCAATTATACTGCCAGTTTTACAGTACTGGAAACGTACAGCTCCCTTTTATTTAAAGTCAGTGTAAGTTACATAAAAATAAACCCATTAAAACCAACAATCACTCTGCATATGAAGTTATTTTCCCACTAAAGAGCCAAGGTTCTTCAAGAAGAGCATACTTCGTTTTAGAAATTATTGCCTGTATTACACTCGCAATTAAAGAGCACAGTGGATAATAAAATACTCCAACACGTCATGCATTGCTGCGATGATCTAATCCCATTCTGGTTCCTGTTTGGCTTCTCTAGGCCAGTGCTTGTCCCTTCCCTTGGTCTTGTTTTTAACCTTAAAATCTGCCTTGAGCATTGCAGCTGTTCTCCTGCTGAAGTGCAGTCTTACTTTTGTACGTTAGACCCTCTCCTTTCTATTTGCTCTTTCAAAACAGACTGGAACATCATCCTCACCCTTTCTCCACCTCCGCGTAAGCTCTCCTGCTCTCTCTCCCTGCTTCCTCCACACTTGGTCATTAAGGAGCCCCTACCACAAACATGAATTCACCTATCATTCCTGGACAGACTTCTTTTCCATCCAAACCAGAACCTCAGCCCATGTCTCTGGCATTTCTTCATGAAGGTCTAGTTACCTGTTCAAGGTCAGTATCTTAAAACAGGGGTTTAGAGTCTCTTCCAAGCTTGTCCCATCAATTTATTTCCCAGGTTCTACGAACAGTATGATTACGTTGTTTTGTTGTCATTCCCATCCACTGTCTCATCTTCAGCAGAGGTGACTCTATGGGTCAGCCCGTACAGACTGTATCTAAACTCGACAGTTATTTCTCCGTGACAGAAATGGCATTTAAGATACGTCCTTTTCTATCCCAGCTGAAAACTAAAGCTTTGAACCAGGCTCTGATGATTTTATGGCTCACATACACATTCCTGCTTTCTGGGCTTGACCAACGCCTTTAGAATGATAAAGTAAAACAATTTTATCTAATTTATGGCTTTGCATCCTTACCAGTCTCTTCAGCCTCCTTTTGTTTTCTGCTTCTCTGTCATTTCAAGTAAGTTACTGCTCTTTGCTTTCCCAATACCTTGGCCCACCTCCCCTAGCCATCTCTTTCACTAGGAAACAACTGACTTGTCTCTCCAATGGGTAATAACCCCAAAATTTCCTCTGTGGCCGTGAGGTCATTTCGTCCACAAAGCTATCTCCTAATCTTCCTCAAAACACTGTCAAAAGATCCTTGCTTTCCCGTCTCGCACACAGATGTGGTGGCAGGGGCTGAGGGTGTTACCCGTCGGTACAACCAACACCGCCGTCTCCCTGCTTCCATCTTTTCTCGCTTGTCTGTATTTGTCTGGTTCATCCCCAGCGTGTCACCTCCCTCCCGAGGGTTGCCGTTTTCATCCGCGTTTATGCACGGCCAGTTACAGCGGGTTTTTAGTCCATGCTTAAGATTTTTATAAGTAACAGGTAACAATAGCTGGCTATTTTGTTTGTGCTGCTACTAATTCCGCGATACCTAAAGACTAACATTTGCGCTTCCTTGCAATAAATGCTAGTCATTTTTTAGAAGAAATAGCCCAACAACTACAATAGAAAAAAAAGGGTCAGAAACATCAACATCGCCTTTCAGATTGAAAATCAATCTGAAAATAATGAAATTGAAAAAAAGAAAACCCAAGGTGATCCAACGTGGGTTGTAAAAGTTGGTATAAACAGCTGCCCAAACCATTACAGAGTCATAAC